CAAAGGCAGCTGCCGCTAAAAATATGAATTAAAGGGGTCCCGCATGAGGGGAGCAGGGAGAGAGGGAGGCACTGTAAAGGCAACAAACACATTTTTTACTTCACCCTTAAAATCCAACTGTTGTTTGATGATATTCCGGGGCCAGTTGAAATCAAAGCACCACAGCACAGCTGCCTCACGTCTTCACCCAGTTAACTGGTGGACTCTTTAAGCCAACCGATGAAAGATGGAAACAAAAACTGAATCACAAAAGAGTCCGTTGTAAAGACAGACATGAAGTCTGGAGAGTTGTTCACACCTGGTGCAAACCAGGGGTCAAAGACCTGAGTCCGTTGACGAGGAGAGTTGTTCACCCCTGGTGCAAACCAGGGGTCAAAGACCTTTTTCTAAAGCATTTTCACACAAAACTATATTTTTACAAAGTTTCCAGGTGACATAAATTATAAACTATTAAAAGGTGCTTCACCTACAGAGTGTCCCAAGTAAAAATACAGAAGGTACTTGGAGTAAGGCCATCCCTGCATTCTAAAACATATATTATAGTATAATGGAAAAATGAATAGAGCAGAGGTGAACATCATAAAAAATGTCCTACATTACCTTAATATTAACACAACAGCACTTGTCCCTGCAAATGGAAGTCAATGTCTAAAAAAAACTCTGACCTGCATGTAATGCATGCAGGTGTTCTCCAATATTGCACCATAGCAGTTTGTCCGTTTCACAGAAAAGAATGAGAAAGAAAATATTTGGATAGTTTAGAATCAAGTCTTTTTTGTGACCAACTAAAAGTATTCATGGACATTTTTTGGCCCAGATTTTTCACCATCATGTTGCTAAATGACAACACCAGCTGATTGTGTATTTCTTGTGAGAGCTTGGTGGTAGTAATTTTTGTTTTTATTACACTTCCAAAAAGACATTTCAATGAAACTAAGATATTTGTGGCTTTCAAATATGAAATGAAATGATTGAGTCATTTAAACACAATGTCTTGGTGCAGCACAACACCAGGCAGTTTAAGCCACTTGGGGGCAGTGCAACAAGCTGAAACACAGTAAGGTGTGTTACCATGCCCTGTACTGTAATAGGATTCATGAAGAGAAGACAGAAAAAGTACAGCAACCAAAACAGAACAAGGAAAATTAAAATGTAGTAATACAATTCTGTCAAGTTATTTGGGTTTAAAGTCTAGGTAACACTTCAACATTGTATAACATTAGTTGTTATACAATGTAAAATGATGGCTGTTTGAAAGTTTTATAAAATCTCCCAAAGAGGTGACAGTGAGGACAACACTGACACTCAGCCGAGTCGGTTTTTGCTGAAGGAAAATGTGCCACCTAGGAAAGTAAGACACTGTTATGTGTTTGTTTGATTTAACAATACATTATTCATGTCATTTTTACATACTGTAAACAAACCGTATGTATACAAATCAGATATTATACAAATCGAGGTCATTAAATAACGAATAACACGTTCAGACAAGGAACAAATGTGTTCATTTCACCTGCACTGACACTGAAGGTAGACTGTGAAGAAGAGTTTTTATTATGTCTTACCAAAAATAGATATTGATTGACTCCTAATACACTTCAAGAAATGTTCTCCACACTTAATCATTTGCATATTTACTTATTTACTACTCTTCCCTCTGGTGGGTTGTCTTATATTTTCTTTAAATTGCCTTCTGAAAACATTGTTAATTTAAAAGAAATGGTAAGGCCAAAAATTCACTTGTAAAAGTATAGGTTTGGGTTAAATGAGGCTCGCAAATGATTACATTTTTTAGTCTGATTAAGTTTGTGCATTGATCACAATTAGTAACGAAACTAGATAAATCCATATTCCTGAATACAATGGTTTTTTTTAAATTAACTTTTTTCCTGTATTATGGTATGGCACAAAAGTTTAACTCAACATTTTGCTTGATAGAGTTGGTGGACATCAGTCATACATATGAGTCTTGATGTTGAAGTTTAACAATGCAGCAAGGGATTGCCTTCAAAACTTTGGTGAAGCTGTTGTCCTCAACAACATTATTCAGTGGACAGACTCCCTAAATCCATTTGACCATTGTGTCAGTCAGCTCATCAGCCGTAGACTTATTTACTGCCTTGTTCTTGTGAGGCTTGTCTGATGTAAGCCTGGCATCTGACCTGAAGTTGAAGCCTCTATAAACACACACTGGGCATTTAGATGGTATTCTGAACTCAAGGACCTGCTGTTAATGAATTACAAAATAACTGGATTAAATATCAAAGGACAAAGCTCTTTTGAAATCCATGTTCATTATGTTTTTGGCTGAAATCACAATTAGTGTGTCATAACGAGGTGGAATTTTCAGTACACTATAAAGAAGTGTTATTTTCTGGGACTGCATTTCAGTCAGTGCTTTAAAAACCATGGCAACCTGGATGTCATGTCACTCATACAGTTCAACCAGGGACAAGCTTTTCAGTACAGAGCTGATATGTGGGCAGGAGAAAATAGAAAGAAGTCTGGACATGATATAAAACTAAACTAAAAAAAAAAAAAAAAGGAACATTGGAAATGATCCACTAGCCAGAGCATGAACCCTTATTTCATCAAATCTGCTGGACAAAAGCATGACAAGAAGATCCAACAATCCAACACACTGGAGGTCAAACTGAACATTTGGTTCAGCTGCCCTCTGACTTTGTTATTAAAGTCTGTGGCATTTTACCTGAGTTGCCTTTTGTCCAAAATTTTGGGTGAAACATAAAAAAGTCCGTGGATCAAAGATCTGTGCAGAGTACTGTGTGTGTGTGTGTGTGTGTGTGTGTGTGTGTGTGTGCGTATCAGAACTAGTAATACATGATAAACTGTGTCCATAAAAAGAACAGCAATAAAATAACCACTCAAAAATATCTCGACAATAACCTTGTCAGTGGCAATTCATCATGGAATTCATGAAGTATCTTGACAGCATCTGCCGTTTGAGTATCTCCATAAAAAAAAAGGCCGTGTCAGAAGAGGAACACCTAAAGTCTGCAGCAGCCTCCTTACAGTATATCCCATTGCTGGAACTGCAACAAGCTTCATTTTTGTGTAGATGGTTGAAAGTTGAAACGATTGCTTTCATTTGGTCAACATATTCAGTGTCTGTGTATTAAGCAACAAACAGTAGTAAAAAAAAGTTTTCCTTTTCTTTTTCTTTTTTCATATAAACAGGACCCCAAGTTTTCCTTTTCTTTTTTCATATAAACAGGACCCCACAAAAGACTGTTGACGACTGAGGACAGGCTATTAACAGGCCTCAGCCATTGTTCCAGTGCACACCATACTGTCAGAAAGATGCCATTCATCACTCACAGAGCTGTTAAACATAAATCCTACTAATGAACGACCCGTGGCCTTTTCAGTCTAACACAATAAAATCCAGACTGTGCAGTGATGGAAATTGACAATTTGACAAGGCGAACCACAACATTTGATTATTTTCCCCAAAGATGTGGGATGTGTTATTCTGATGGTCACTGACTCCCTTGGAGACGGTGAGAAGTATTTAAATGAACTGCGGCCGTGATGAATTTGAAGCCCTCCTATCAACTTTGTCATAACCAAACATCATTGCTATGGTTACCAAGGTCAGATGAGGCTCCGGCTCTCTAAATAAACCTGATGCAGATGGTGATCTGAGAGCAGCCCACTGCCACTAATGACTTACCTCTGGGTCTGTGGGCGCCCTCTTTTTTTTCTTTTTTACCAAAGGGGGCAGTGAGGGCAACAGTGTATTAGGGATAAAGGTTTTTCTGTGAGATGAACTAAACCAAATTCAGAGACAGAAAGTCTGTAATGTCTCACTGGGAAAGCATCACTTCAAAACCTAAAAAATGGAAATACAATGCATGGATTTAATGTATGCATTTGATTCAAAAATTGTATATATATTTATTTAATCATGAGGTCAATAAGCATGAAAAAATTACTAGATTATGTGTGGATAAAAAAATGTTTTTTCCCAAAACTGACAGCTGTGAAGCACCTGCAGGTAAACAAAGAAATGCTTTGAACATGTTTTTTAGAAAAATGTACCGTGAACAAAGATTTAACAAAATATAATAAATAACTTAATTGGATGGTTAGTAGCCCCTTGGTGACCAACGCAGATGTTTGTGGTTTTTCTACATAGAACGAAGGACAACGGATAATTAGAAAGAAAAGGGAACAACACTGAAGCAAATTTAAGGCAGATCATCCGACTGATGACAGGTGGGCAACAGAAATCCAAGACATCTTTCCTCAGTAATATAAAAACAGAATATTCATTCAGACAGGAAGATAGGTATTTAGGACGCAGGCTCCAACACCAGATTAGAGACACAATTTCTGTCAGAACAGGTCAAATTTATCTTTAATATGTTCTTTTTTTAATATGCTCCACACCAAGTTAGAAAAATCAATATTCCACGTACCAGAAAATAAATAACCTATGATTGACAGAAAGGAATTACTAACATCTTTTACCGAGTAACAATTGGTAAGATGATTCACTGCAGTTGTCTCTTGTCACCAACTAAACAAAGAGTACACCGATTAATTAAATGTGACAGAAGCAACTGCACAAAATGTGAAACTCTGAAGAACAACAAGAACTTTTCCAAGTCAGGTACGTGCCGTCAGGACAGGTTTTGTTGCTATTTTTGAAACCAACTCCCCAAAGTGTTCATGCTGCAGTAGAGGACTGAGTAGATTAAACACCGAGAACATTCGCAAATCTTTAAATTTAATCAAACTAAATTAGATTTAGGAAGCCCAGTCACTCTATGGCCTTTTTAAACTTAAACTCTGTAATATGAAAAGTCTACTTCCACTTTTGTTTAAGTATTATAACCTGCTGACTATGTATTATTATATGTAAAGTCGTTCGGACTTACTTTATTTCTAGTTGCATGTCTGACCTCATAAACATGCAACATGGACGCCTAAAGATAAAAGCCAAGTTAAAAAGAAATGTAATAACAGGTACTCACAGACTGCCTCTTCTTGGAAGACTCAGCTCTTTCTGCAGGAGAAAAAGAGAAAAAGAGTTAAGCACAAAAATGTGTTACTTTCTTAAGTAGGCAACATTTATATGCAAAACTATACACAAACTTATTTCAGAGGTTAATAAACATTGAGTGTTGAAAAACGTCATTTCCATATTTAGATGTAAAACATCTGAATTAACACAACAACAATGAGGAGCCAATCAGTTTACAGGGGACTTTACATTTTTCTTCTAGTTTTTAATAGTTCGAAAACTTTGGAGACCTTGGTATAAGGCAACAGTGACTAGTGCTACATCAGTCGTGTACCAGACTCCATCACTGCAGCATGGCGGTTTCAAATTTCCACCTTTGGTCATAACAGTCAATGGATAAGCGGATGAAAATGGATGGATGGATGGATGGATGGATGGGTCATTATGGAAAGGACAAATTATTCCTTTTTAAATTTTTTTTTTTTTTGGAATGTAAAATATACATTTTTAAATTTATTTATATACATTGTAACTTATTTTCAATTAAGTAATTAATTTATTTTTAAAAAGTACACTACAAAGCTTATTTTTATTTACTTGTGTTGACTTTTCTTTTTGCAATATTTGAATATTATTCATTAATACAATGTGTTTCCAGAGCCAATTAATAACTGTGACTAATCACAATTTATACATAAATGAAAATAATCATGATTTTTTTCCCATAACCCAGCATTCCATAGCAACTTTACTTTATACTATACAAAACAAACAGCGATGATCAAAACGGTTAAGATCAGCAAACAAGAAGCCAGTCTGGTGAAAGAAACCCAACGAGCGTGGATACTGATGCTTCAGCAGGTTAACAACCGCAAACAGCTGCCATAACACACCGCAGGAAACACTCCGCAGGTGTGAAACTGTTATCGGGCAGAAAACACTCCGCAGGTGTGAAACTGTTATGTCCACGGACAGACTAGAGGAATAGGGTTTAAAGATTGCATCTGACTTTTAAGGACCATGGAAGGACAGCACTCTATAAACCCAATTACCTCTTAAATAAAAAGGCATAAAACACCTGGAAATAAAGTACAGCCCAAGGATGTAAACCGTTTCAGAACTTAACAGTCCTTTGGCTTGTGATCTTTAGACATACCTCCAGGGACACCTAAAACTGAGCAACACCGTCACACTAATTAAGTACTGTACATGGTACAGTCAATACGTTTATGACAGATGCTACAGAAGAATTACAAGTTAAGGCATCAGGCAACAGTCGGTGGAGAGGTCACATTGATGTCCCAGTCCCATTTGGGAAAACATGGAAGTCAAACAATAAGCCACTGGGACAGGAATAAAACACACGGAGCACAGATCCATAGATCCTTTATACTTCACAGAAAAGTTTGACTAATAAGCGTATCTTCCTGAAGAAGACGGTTCTTTCTTTTATTTGGTGTTGCTTTAAATCCTTCCCCGCTGAGTTGACTTTGTGCTGTATGGGAAAAAAAACAAATAAACAAGCAGACGGTGGTCCTGCTTCAGCGGGTGCTTACAAATCTGACTGATTTGATCAGTGGATGCATCATTGTCTCACAACAACCTGTCTAAGGGTTAGGTCCTTTGTTTGAGACAGCGTAGGACGTCGAGTTGATGTGAATTGGCTGCTCCAGTCAGCAGAAAGAAAAGTGCTAAGCCCCGCTCTCCCTTTGCTATCAATTAAAGCTTAATGTCTGCCTTTCACCGCTCCCTGCAGAAGACCAAGGGCAGAGAGCTTCCTTGGGAGACATGACCACAGCTCACACAACACTAATTGCCAGCAGGGAAAGGCGTACACAGATGGGATAAACATAAGTCAATTCTCCATTCAGAGTGTGAAAACACATTAGAGAATAAAGAACTAATAATAAACCAATTTCAGCAAAAAACACACCATCACCATGAACGTCATGAATATTAGGGATGTGACGATACAATCAACTCGATAACATTCAGGATTTTTCTTTTTTCACAATACCATTTTATTACTATTTTATTATTATTTTAGAAACAAAATGAGCTCCAGACAAATAATGACCAAATACAATGATCCTTATTTGTAAGATCTATGCAAAATACCATTAGCAACTGAAATGGTCATGTGAACCTCATAAACTGAAATCTTGAATAACCGAATACAAAAAATACAGAAATACTGCACATCACCATTTATCTCCTTTTATTAAAAGTAAAACTGGTGTGGTCTTAAACAGTGAGAAAGAAAACCAGGGCAGCGTTGAACAGGCTCCATCACCTGGTATTACCTACCAGGATTTAAATGGACCAGGATTATTATCTAGAGCAATGGAAACTGTTATGACTCGCTGGTGTGATGCATGTTATTGGAAAGAGAAACAATATTTGTTCTGCACTGTACAAAACCCCTTTGCACAAATATATGATGATAAAAATTAAATCTGGGTTTTCAATGCTTTTGTGTCCATCACAGGATAATGTCTTTTTTTAGCAGCAAGTTTATTTTATGCATGTATTTTTGGGGACATGTCACATTTCTCAAACTTTTACACCTTGTGCAGTGATAATCAATGAAATCACATATATTAACGTGCAGCCCTGCACCGGTCCACAGCCCAGTGGTTTGGGACCTCTGCTGTAAACAAAGTCATAGCTCAGTGGCCACAGACTTCGACTTCCACTCAGAATGTCCCAGGGGGACAACAAGCATAAAATCTGTCACAATTTTACAATAAGTGCTGAATAATTAATTACAGCAATCCACAGTGGTTGGTGTGTGTTTTTCCTCTCAACACTAAAAAGCTTTTAAGCTCTTATATTTACAGTTTGTGTGTTTGAAGTCGGTCAATAATAATAGGACTATTCCTTTACCCTGTGGACAAAATATATATCCTGTGGTATATATGTCTCCTTCTTTTCTAAAAAGTTTTATAGCAGTTGGAGCTGTTACTGCCAACTCCATAAAACATATCAGAAGACTACTGCACTTCAGTCAAAACAATGAGGGGTCTCTTACATATCTGCCTTGACAAGTGAAGGTGATCCAATAAAAAAAAAACATGTGGAATTTTTAATTGACATTAATCCCACATTGTTCTGTTCCTATTTATGTTTTCAGGATGTAAATGCTTTGTAATGTTTGCCCAGCCGTTTGTTTGGACCTCTGCTCCTTTTGTCTTTCAACTATCTGTTGTCAGACTGTTGTTTCAGCATGTTCTCAAAGAATCCTGACTTGACCACTCAATAACAATTTAAACAACAAAACTTTTATTGATCCACTGGGTAATTTAACAGGTAGTTTAAGAGTCATTGATTGCTGATATGTATCTTGTGAGTTTTTCTTGTGAGGAAAAACAAAACAATCTCCTGACGTAAGTTCTTTTCTAACTGTTAGCTGTACGTTGTATAATCTCTGATAATATAGACAGAAGAGTTGAATTAGCAATGATAGCTAGACTTGAAATTACATTCAACTTTTTCATTTTTGAAAGAGTCAGCCTGGATGTTAAAGCTTCAATAAAAGTAAACAATCCTTTGTTATTACCCAGAAAAAAAACCACACCGTCACCATGAGGTTTAAGTATTTACTGTGTCGCAGGGTAAATGCCGATAAATCACTCGCAGCTCCGCAACTTTGTCTTCACTGAACTACATCAAAGACGTGCAAGTCTCGTCAAAGGCCTGTGTGTAATGTTCATCAATAATTCTCCTTCATGCATCTTCACACATCAAAAGGTTACATGTGGTTGGCTGCTGACTGGTGGGAAAATGTCTCATACCATCTTCAGTCATAATGTTGCAAATGAGCAATTGGAGTTACATCACAGCAGGTATTTGTAGCATTTACTACTTTGTCTCAGGGTTAACACGGTTCACTGGGAAATCACATAATGATACAGCAGTGAAGAACAGGAGTTCAGCGTTAACATCTGTGAGTTTATATCAAAATTTCAAGACCTGCAGGAGCTGCTGTCTGTTCGAATACTGAAGAGTCGGCAGGCTTTCTGAAGGGCCTGGGTTTAGCTTTGGGCTACATGTAATTTTTTTATGTTTTTATGACTGAAACAACATTCGAATTCCAGTCCTTAGATGAGGAAAAGACGAAGGTTGTGAGGTGGTGTGAAAACATCCTCCAAAACAGACAGACACTGTTTAGACTTAGATGGACACTATAAAGAGGAACAGCTTTGGTATATTTATGAATTTCTTTTCACTTTGTCTCTGGCTGCACCCACAATGTTGGTCTAACTGTAATGGCAACACGCCATTAATGGGACGAACTAAATAATTAACCTTTGCCCCCAGTTTGAATGTGGGGTGGACAGGGTAAAGAGGAATGTCTTCCTTCAGGAAGATGCTAAAACACAAAGACAAGAAATGCTACAACACTCAGTAACATTAATCACTGATGGCAAAAAGCTCCTACAAGAAATGCTACAACACTCGGTAACATTAATCACTGATGGCAAAAAGCTAACATCAAGTTTATAATAAATTACACAACTTATGACAGCAGAAGTGTACAGTTAAGTCAGAATAATAAGCCTAGGTTTTATTAGGAATTACGTCCTATATATATATTACCGATCAGACATTGTTTGTTTCATGTAAGTTCTTCACAGTTCTTACAATAAAATACTCAGGATTTTGTCTTTAAAGAAAAGGAAACCAGGAAGGTAAGTGTTACATATAGAACCTTTTGGCAGTAAAAGGTTTGATAAAATCCCAACACTATGTTTATAGCCTCCCCTGCTGGGATGGGAGGGCAACATAATTACCATAATAACCAAGATTTAAACGGTTTACACTCTACATTTTTAATATGCCATTATTGCTAAAATTAAGAGTTTTTTTAAACCTAACATATTGCACAAGTGTATTCAAGTGTATTCAAGTGTATATCAAAGGAACAACAAAGGGGCAAACATATCTTAATTAAAACTACACTCCAAATTGATTTTATCTAATCTGTGCTGGTTCAAAGTCAAAGGGCTGGAGTTTATCTGAAGACCCAACCAATCGATGAA